GTTTTAATAAGTGAAAATATGAAATTTTAGGTCCTAGAACTTGTATTAAATAGGTTTGGTGTAGAAATATGTGTTGGAGAGGTTTGAGATAGATTTGGTTGGCTTAGGAATAGATTGGAAATGAAAAAGAGACGAAAACAGGCTGTGAACAGTGCACGTGAACGATGCACTGCTGCAACTTCAAACTCGATTTAAATCTTGATGCAGTCAATATCTCTCAAAAACTTCATTTGTCATCCACGAATATTTACAACATTATCCAAAAGAATAAGCCCAAGTCATGGCTATTACATCTCAAAAATTAATTAAAGAAGCGCAGCGGAATAAACAAAAGAAGCTAGACTACACAATGTTCCAAAAGAATGTCCTAGTCTAGTACAAAAGGAAAGGAGGTCGCTCTATGCGTCCACCTCGGGATCCACACTCCCGTCCCGTGGAGTCTCCCAAGTAGCGGGCTCCTCGACCCTTACGTCCTCCTCCTCAAGCGGGTAATCTGAAAAATGTTAGCGATAGGGGGTGAGCACGAAACTCTGTAGAAACATTCTCCCAAACCCATTCAAGGTTTAAAAAATCATTTAAAACGGTCGGTCTCAATTTTAACATAACATAGATACATAATTTGAAATAAAGCAGTGACATTTAAAAAGGATCTCAAGTTTATTTAAAAACATTACTTAAATGAATAAATGAGCACCACATACAAATAATAACAATTAATTGTCATAACCAATTTTCAACAGTTCTTTCGGTAGGTGGCATACTTTGTGGTAACCTCCACCCCCTTTAGGTCACCTTTGATTCTCAAGCATCCTTACCGGGAACCTCTTGAAAATGGATGACCATCCTTATATGGAACCTCTCATCAATCACTACATTATCTCCCAAGCATCCTTACCGGGAACCTCTTGGGAAGGGGTGAGCATCCTTACAAGGAACATCTCACTCATGTGCATCATAAACAACCCAACCAAACATAAAATTTCAACATTTATCTTAATTTACAAGCATCTATCCAAAATTTTCAAAATATATCATATAACAATTCCACAACTAACTAAGAAAATATATGAGATCACAATAACATTAGTTCTCTACCCAACACAAAGCACTAAGGTTTTGAAATCCATAATAAAGAAAGCATTTAGGAAGGAAATACATCTCTCCAAAAATTAGGGTTTTAAAACTAGAAAGAAGATTTCATGGGTATTAAACCTTACTTTGTTCAAAACATGTAATCCTTACAAAAA